GGAGAGAGAGGTTGATTACTGAATCTTTGTTCATCGAATCTACACCCAACACATGCAACAGAAGTGACTCAATGCAAATACCAGAAATATGGAAGATATTATTGCCGCCAGTCAAATCAGAAGAAGATGATAAATAGTCTTAAAATTCTATTTCCATTCAAGCACATCATAACATTCTAACAATCAACTTATTATGACTGTAAAAAACACTCGTCGTATTTCCCATCTAATTGCAATGGATTAATAACACTCGTACTATTATTTCTGAATGTACATTATCTCATATTGAATTTTAATCCAATATCTAGTCGATTCCACACATGTATATAAATGAAGGAAAGAAGTTGTGTGAGTAACTTGATATGATTATGAGCAATAGTTTGTGCTCGAAACGTCATCAGTAAATATTACTGTATAACACTGTGAGTCCCTTTCAAAATAAAAATTTACCCATAATGGAATTACCTCACTGAAATATTGTTAGATAACAATTACCCACTGAGATTTATTAGACGTTATGGAAGTGTCAACCATAGAGCTTTACCAATCCAATCAGCTCCCAAAAAGGATGTTTACACATATCCTTACCGTTCAGAGGTGATCAAAATGTTTAGTCACTAGACAAAGACTCAAGGCAGCAATTAATAGAACCTATCAGGCAGCTAAACTTATCTTCATAGAGAAAGCGAGAACTATGCTGTTCTGGAAACCCTGACATTATCCGAACTATAGTGTCACATTCCACTGTGTTTATCAATTTATATGTATGTGTGGAGACACGTACGTAGGGAGGACACATCGGTCTCTGCAGGTTAGGGCTACAGAACACATTCCAAAGTGGCCGCAACAACAAATGAAATCGCCAGAAACAACTGACCTTGAAAATAAATGTCCAACATCATCCATAGCGAAGGACATTATAGAGACAGGTCATGAGGTTGATTTCAACAATGCCTTTAAGCCGATATATAAAACAAGGTTGGGCCACATACTTAAATTCATTGAGGCCTTAGCCATAAAAAGACTTAAACCTGTCTTATGTGTCCAAAAGTTATTTGCTATCACCTTAAACCTGCCTTGGTAATCCAATTTAGAACCAAAGACCAATTTACTTCCTAATATTTTCAACCCCTTCTTTGCCTTGTTTTTTCTCCTTTTATCTTTCTTACCCACACCTTTTGTGTCTCCCTACCCATTATTTGTGACCTTGACCTGTATACAATCTGACCTGTATTTGTAATTATTAATGCCTTCTTGCATTATATATAAACTGTGTATGACAAGTTCGTGTGTGATCAGAATGTCCGAAATGTGTTGCGCCAATACATTACACGTTTCAGATAAACTACGTCTTCTTATTGTGTTGTCGAAATTCATAAAGGGAACTAATTGCTTTAAAGAAGGAATTTCAGTTTTCTTGTCGTTGTTGTAAATACCTTGTGGAAATGATTATCTGATGATTGTCTAACTTCAAGCTGAGATTTTACTCATTCCATTGTTGTTAGCAGTATTATATTATTATTATCATTCCCTTGGGTTCCGAGTGGAACATAGGGCTTCAACAACACATCTACACTTTCCTCTGTTTTCTGCCGTTCTCTTCAGCTGGGTCTCCTACTGACCAAACTCTCTTATCTCTTCCTCACACGATCTCCTCTATGTCACCCTAGGAGGACCCACTCGTCGCTTCCCACTTGGATTCCACTCGAGTGACGGCCTGGCGTGCGGTGTCATTCGGCGGCCTCCTTAATGTACGCCCGATCCATCTCCATATTCTCCGACATATTTGTTGAGTGATCGGCTCTTGGTTGGTTTGTTCCCATAGTTTTTTGTTCCTTATTCTTTCTGGCCTGCCGTTTGATCTTCAGTATGGAACTAGAGAAGGTGGGCAGCTGTTGATGAAAGTTCGCAACCTGTTGAAAATCCTTTTCCTTACACGCTGGTCTTCTTTCTGACCCGTATAGAATAACTGACCAACTTCACATTGGTGTTGAAAATCTGAATCTTGTTCCTTACACTGAGGTGAAATGCAAAGCAAAACATTTACAAACTGGTTTCAGGTTGATGGAGGCGTATCTCATCTTGTTTTTTCTGCTCTGACTGGCTTCTAAATCTTAATACGTTCGGTGTGCCAGTAGTTGTCAGGATGATTCCTAGATAAGTGAAGGAGGTGACCTCTGTTAAATCTCCCCCGTTGATGGTGACTGGTGCTGATTGTTGCTGTTGTTGATGATGCGGCTCGTTTGGTATCTTCATCACCTCCGTCTTCTCTATGTTCACTAAGAGTCCTGTCTTCGCTGCCTTAGTGCTTCAGCCAGTTTTTTGTTTTCACCTGTAAGTCTTCACCTTTGTGTGAGATTAGACATGTATCATCTTCGAAATCCATATCTTCTACAGCCTTATTATCGGTCGTCCAGTGTATTCCTGATTCTTCACCCCCAACAATCTGTTGCATAGCCCAGCCCACTACAATGTAGAATACCATCGTTGATAATAGGAAGCGAGCTTGTCTTACTCGTGTATGCACTTCGAACGCCTCGCTGAGTTTTCCGCTGTGAGTCAACTAATATGTGGCACTATCATATATTTGTTGAATGAGGTTGATAAAGACTTGAAGTAGGTGTTAGTGTTGAATAAGTTTCTAAATTACTTGTCGGTCAACACTACCAAAGGCGTTTTCATATTCCATGAGGTTGAAGTAGGGGTCTGACTACCATTCTATACCCCTTAAAAGTCACTCAAAATCTAGACTAACAAATTCTTATGAACTAAAACATAGATTAGATAATTTAAAATTGGATAATGAAGAAAAAATGGTTAGTTTTGACATTGTCAGTTTATACACACGTTTACCAATAAATATGGCTATAGAGGCAGTCAGAAACGAACTCATTTCTGACCAACAACTCGAACTTAGGACAAAAGTGCCACTTGAGGACATAATGCTGGGAGTACAGCTATGCCTGACTTTCACAATATAGAAATTCCAAAGGAAAATATACAAACAAACTGAAGGCGTTGCCATGGGATCACCAATATCCCCAGTTGTAGCAGATATATTCATGGATAAGTGGGAAAGCATAGCGATTGAAACGTTCACCCCCACCCCAAAAGTATGGTGGAAGTATGTAGATGACACATTCGCTGTACTTAGAACGCAAGATATAGATAGGTTTTTCGAACACATCAACTCGAAGGTTGAAGCAATTCAATTCACTTATGAATTGGAAAATCAGGAACTCAGGGAGCTCCCAATGTTAGATTGCAACGTAAAAAGGAAAGAAGATGGGAAGTTAAACACTAGTGTTTACAGGAAACCCACACACTCAAACAGATATTTAGACTTCCGATCGTCCCATCCTATGTCAGTAAAAATGGCATTGGTGAAATGTTTAAATGACAGAGCACAAAAACTAAGTAATACCAAAGAAAATCTAAAAACAGGAACTGATACATATAAAAGAAGCATTGCAACTTAATAATTACCCAGATAAATTAGTCAGGAAATATGTAAGGAAATGTAAAAATAAAATAAATAATGATAGTAGCGATAGTGATAATAACAATAATAATGATAATAATAATAATAGTGATAATAATAATATTAATGACGACACCAACAATCAGGAATCTAAATCATCAGTAGTAATTCCATACAAGGAAGGAACATCGGAAGCCTTACGCAGAATTCTTAACAAGGCAGGAATAAAAGTGGCATTCAAACCCACAAACTCAATTAGAAACAAGCTTTGTCGGTTAAAGGATCAATCCTGTAGAGTCTTTATAACAAAACAATTTAGTTTATCTGATACCCTGCAATGATTGTCAGGTCAAATAGAACAGGGGCAGTCAGACTAGGTGAACATAAAAACTTAGCAAAATCTTGATTGATTGATCCAAATAAGATAAGAAATCTAGAGAATAGTTCAGCTATAGCACTCACTACATGCAATTACACACAACCATACAATAGAATGGGACAGGATGACAGTTTTAAAATCTAATGTCACAGGGTATAAGGAGAGATTGATAACAGAAGCTTTGTTTATCGAATCAACTGCAAATACATGTAATAGGAATGATTCATCACCAGTCCCCGATATCTGGAAAATTCTACTACCCCTACGACGACAAATAGGAGAGAACAAAGAAAACTATAAAACTCAAGTGTCAAAGTCGTGTGATCACAATTGATATGATTATGAACAATAAATTTTGTTCGAAACCTTGTCATCCAGTAAATAATACTGTTTCACTGTGTGATATATCAAATAAACAAACTAATATGGAATTACTTAATACCAAACTGCCCACGTTTTACACATATATTAATCGGTTAGAAAACCATAGAAACCAGGAAGTGCTGCAGAGCTACTTCGTCCTAGTTTGGAACTCACACCTAACGTTCAAGCCCAGAAGCTTCCGGTTGCCAAGCAACCTCGTACACCATTCAGCCACTAGTTTCTGACTTAATGACCAACTCATGAATTCTAACCTCTATCAGTCCGTTATTTTATCGTGACCACTAGCCAGTGTTATCACAACTTGTCACTAGAACTGCACGCGGGCAACTTCGTTCTGTTGGCAGTGACTAGTGAGCGTCAGATAAACTTCGTCTTCATGCTGTCATTGGAGCGTTTTGTAAGTGTGTGTGTCTATCACAGAAGTTTCCGACTGCTTTACAGTAGGACACAAACTCCGGCTCCCTGCGTTCACACGACAGTGAGTCAGTTTTAATCGTTACACATGTTACATTTAGGAATTACATAAAGCCAGTGTCAGTGGCATTTCTCACTGATTTCCAACAGTTCTCCAGACCGATGTTATTTAGTGGTAATATATTTAACCTTGAACTGTCACATTCAACAGATTCATTTATTCAATGACTACTTCTATAAAGTAATGTCTGAAGTTGACACTGAGAAATATCCTTCACAATAAATACTCATTCGACGAATACAATAATTCAAAATGTATTTGAAAAAAAACATTGAACTTACCGACGTTGCATAATATTCGGTTCACTGTCATCGTTTGTATCCTCCACTTCCGAGTCGACACTGATCAGTGGTGCTTCAAAAGATCTCTTCTGCACTTCATCTTCATCTTTCTCGCTAGGAATTTGTTCTATTGTTACATTCGGTGAATATCGTTCTTGTTTTTTAATGATACAAACGTCAACTGTCTGAGAATTTACATTTTCATTCGCTTCAAATGATGCTTGTTTCAGCGGTGTTATCGACATAGGTATTGATGTTGGCGTCGGCATCGGCATCGGTTTTGTAGTCGTTTTTTTCTCCGCTGTTGTATTCAATGGTTCAGAGATATGAAAAACTCTGGAATCACTACCAGATATGCGAGTGACCATCAGTGGTTGTTCTTCATCTGTTCTATTCTCTAATAACTCACCCATAGTCCATGTTGGTCTCCAGGTATACGTCGAGCTTCTACTTTTCTCAAAATTATCCCTTAATCGTTTTAGCCTTGTTTGACAACCAGAATTTTGAAAAATATTTAAATAATTCGTTACGCTATTTGCGCGTTGTTCATTTTTCAATGAAGCATTAGTGTATTGTACACCTTTTGTTGTATCATTCTTTTCTAAACTTGATTGTTTTGAAAATGAACTCACATCAGTATTCGGTAGTTTAAAACTGGAGCCACGATTTGTTTGAATCGATGAATCGGTTTGTTTCAAAGCAGGATCATTATATAAAACAGCAGAGTGTGTATGTAATGACATACTACTACTATCATAACTAGGCGGTCGACCATCTGTCTCTGTGGAATTATTTCTTTTATAAATATTATAATCATCCGTATAGTCACTGTCATCAGTCCATTCTCTTGTCAAACCTGGTACACTTAAAGTCTCTTGTAATCCAATTGTCTGTGATTGATGCTGACGATTGTTATTTGTGATTTGATAAGGAGGATGCTTTTTTGTCGGTGATGATGAAGTCACTGTTGCAGAACGTGCTAATTTATTTCGCAGTTTATCAAGGCGTCGAAGATGTTTGTTTGAATGACACTCTGAAGGTGTCTGACTTATTTCATTTGACAGATGAAGTTTATTTTGATGAGTTAGTTCAACTAAAGCTTCATGGCTGTCTACACACTGACGTGGTGAATCTGTGAAATTACTGTCTTGAATCGTTTCCCCCAAGAATACTTCAGTGCTATGATGACTCCTTTGACGATCACATGTTTTGACAGGCATGTTAGCCTCCTCTATGCTCAACTGTTTGTTTGGCTTATCTACTGAAATTAATGATGTTTGAGGTTGTGGTTGTTGGGGTTGTTGCTGTTGTTGTTGATGTTTTGTTGAACGACCATCTTTAGCGGCTAGCGTCAATACAGTAGCTCCGAGTACACCACCAGAAAGAAGATGATGAAATGGACTTGATGAATGCGCTCCAAATACACCTCCGCCTACATTACCTGGCCCGCTAACACCAGCTCCACCACTACTTGGACCACTGCTAGTTGACGTTGTACTAACGGGGAATAGACCGAGTGGAATTTTACCAATATTTGAATGTTTCGTCACTTTTGACTTCGCCTCATGGACTTCTTCTTTCCGTTGCTGTTGTTGCTGCTGCTGTTCTAGTTCCTTAGCAGCTTTAAACTCTTTCACATGTCTTAATTGTATTAAACCTGAGAAATAAAGTCGGAAAAGTAAGAAAAACGCATTAGTTTTTGCTTTAATAATACGTGATAAAGTTGGATGCAACAATGTCATCAGTACAGTGCAAACATACTTTTCGAATAGTGGTTAGACGCTTGACTACAGCTATATTTTTGTAATCATGTATTGTATTCATGAAAACATTATTCAATAATACGGAAGCATACAGTTTTATTCAGAGAAAAATTATTCTAAATAGTTTGTCTATAGGGATTTGATTTGTATCAAGTTTGAACACGGATTGATATCAATAGGGGGACCATCGAAAATCAATGGGAAGTAGTCGACAGTTGTTTCGTTCTACTATGAGACTCATTGCAATTAAGCATCCATTTTAAGGTCCTATTGGTAAGTACGTACTACTGATGAGTCCCAAACCAGGATAAAACAACTGTCCTTTACGCCCTACTGGTTTTTAGTGATTCTCTAATTGATATCACTCCGTGATAAAACTCAAAGAAGCATTTCTTTCTAACGACTTTATTTTCTATCTCTATTTTTATTACAGAAAGAAAGCATTGTGTGGTATTGAGTACTGCTCATTCAATATAAACACGGTGAGAATAAATATAATTAACAAGATTGCGCACAGGATTAAATCATAAGCTGACATCGGTTAGAGAACTATTGGAAAGCCAACACCAGAGTACTGGACATCTGTTTTGTCCTAGTTTGAGACTCTTCAACAGTACACACCCACCACCACAATTTGAACCTAGGACCTTCTGGTTACAAGGCTAGCGAGCGCGTAGACCATTAAGCCAATGGAGCCCGATCCAGTAGACCATGAGTTCTAACTTCTGCCAATTCACGAGTTATAGCGCGACCATTAGCCAATGTCTTCGGCTAGCGCTTATCCTTACGCCCTTCTTGCCGCAGCCTACTTACTGGTTACGATGTCCACGATAACTCCACGTAACTACCTACGTGAATAAGGCCAGTCGAGTACTGCTGAAGAGCCGCAAACCAGGACGAAGCAGTTGTCCAGTAGTCTCAGGTTTTCTAATGGTCCTCTAACCGATATCAGCTCATAATGAAATCCTGTAACAAATCAGTCGAATCCCTAAAAACCAATAATTGACGATAATTAACAAGATGTTTAAGTGGGTAAGTTTGAAGATGATCAGTTACAAAACTTTTAAAGATAATTTTTTAAAAAAAACGGTCAGTTGATGTTTTAATTATAATTGATTCTAAGACTAGTAAAGTAGGTCAAGTGTAGCCAAAACCTGAAAGTTTCAATAATGATAACGACAAGAAAGGCGGAGGTTTAGTGAAGTGGAAAGAAACTAAGTGATAAAATTTTAAAAAAATAACAAAAATAGAATCCCTGTGACCAAGGTAAAGAAAGAGATGTAACGAAACGTTTCCGAATGTGAAGTTTACATTTTTAACCAAGCTAAAAGTTGGCAGAAGAAGCATCATAGATAGGACTTCAATTCAGGTGAACATAGAGAAGACAGAGGTGATGAAGATTCCTGAGCATCACCACTAACATCAACAATGACAACAACAGACAACAATCAGCATAAATAGAAGGAACCTGAAAAAAACAACACCTTTTACCTACCTGGGAAGCATCGTCTCAACTACAGGCGAATGGAACTGACGAGGATATCAAAGCAAGAATCGGAAAAGCAAGACAAGCTTTCACTACTCTCAAGTCTGTGTGGAGGTCAACAGTACTCATCATCAAAAATAACATCCGGATTTTCAACTCCAATGTGAAGTCAGTGCTACTTACTACACGGATCAGAGACTTGCACTGCGCGTCATAAAGAGCATCTCAAACAAACTACAGACCTTCATTAACGGTTGTCTCCGCTCCATACTTCGCTCAAGATCAGATGGCCGACCAGAAAAGATCAACAACAGAGATCTCTGGCAATGAGCGAACCAACACAGCAGGAACCGATTGTGAAACAAATAGGCAGGAAGAAATGGAGATGGATTGGCCGGCCATACTCTGAGGAAACCATCAAGTGACATCACTAGACAAGCCATTGCTCGAGTGGAACCTTAAAGTGAATCGGCGAGTTGGTCGTCAGTGCAAAGGTGGGGTGACTTGGAGGAGGTGATGTGAAGAGGAGATGAAAAAGTGTGGGAAGACTTGGAGCCAGGTGAAGACTCTAGCAGAGAACCAAACGCAATGGAGACACACGGCTGAAGCCCAATGTTCCTCTAGGAATTAAAGGAAACAATAATAATAATATAGCTAGAGCTTAGACTTTCAACCAAAATAGACGATGTTCAGCATTCTGTTTCTGAAGAACACGCTTACAAAGTTCAACGTAATCTGATCCTCATGTGCACATGAAAGGGTGAGTGCATACAGAGGTGGACATAAACGGTATTTTATCCTTCACGTAAATGTCGAATCATACTTCGTTCAGAGAATATCAGGTGTAAGTCAGAGTCATTAAAACAGTATTGGATCCACTTCGATCTACTACTTTTAATAACTTCAGTAATAGTGTCACCTGTGAATGCTAAAATGATGAGTGGTGTCATATACGGCATTGTTTATCCACTTCAATTCTACCGTCTTAAACATTATGTTAATCATTTTAATTCTCACCACCCACAAAGTCACTGATGGGTTTAATTCCAAGTGAGTATCTAAAAGGGTACTCAACGCGTCGGTCTAACAACCGAAAGTTAAAAATACAACAACAATCTTTGCAAGTTTTACATGTTAACAAGTTTCTGTTGATAAACAGTCGGAATCTCTTAAAAAAGTGATGTAGTAAGGTTTACTGGTGGTTTAAAAATCCTATCCGAAGTGAATATTTTACTGGAAACTTCCATCTTCCGGGTGGTAAATTATTGTGGTTGAAAATTTCTGAAGAGACGGAATTTCAATAAAGATAGGTGTAATTGCCTTCCATTCACACAAATCATGAATTCACTTTGAAGTTAGCCGTCTAGAAAGATAACAAAACGTTCTTAATTAAAGAATTTAAATAACTTGTCTATTAAATAAAGTATAATTATATTTTAATAGTTTACACACAATGATAAGTTTTGTTATTGGTAATATTTCGAAATATTACCAATAACAAAACTTATCATTGTGTGTAAACTATTAAAATATAATTATACTTTATTTGATCTAATCCACAATGCTCAAACTTTTTACTGATATAAACTTGTCTATTGTTCTTTCTAAGGAAAAGCGAGTGATTTAATTGGTGGGTTTTGAATTTCTCATCTACAAACATCTGAAATTTTTTTGCAAATTAAAAATCAAATGGACTGCTACAAGGAATAAGCAACAAGCAAGTCTGGGAATGAACCAATCTAGAATCTCTTGGCCTACAAGCATTCAGAAGACAGTGAGAATGGATGGAATACATGCTAAGACTGAAGAAGACTTTTCCTGCAGCAACTCTTTGAGTCAGTGATATTTTCTAGCCACCCATTACTTCAGAGCAACGGGAAGGGGATAGACTTCCGCATATGACCACTTCAATGTGCATATATCAGTTCACCTGCTCTTGCAGAGCTAGGTACATAGGTCGTTCTATGCACGTCTTATCATAAAAACGTGTTAGAGAACATCATCCTAGCATGGCTGCAAAGAGGAGGCACTGGTTTAATCACGAGCGCAATAACTGAACACCTCGTCAATACCTGTCACAGCATCTCTCTCAGCTGACTCATCCATCATTCAGAGTCATTCACAAAGTAAACAAAATCTACCGAAGATAGTCAGACTGTTTTCGACTTCTTTGTACTGTGGAAGCTCTCGCCATAAGCATCGAAAAGCCGAAACTATGTGTTCAAAAGAAACTAGTCCAGCCTTTACAACTACCGTGGAAAAGGTTTGGTATATCCCCTTATCCTTCAGTCTTTTGTTTTGTTCTCTGTGTGTGTAATTTTCTCTCTTTCTCTGCATTCAATTCATCCCATTTTTTCAGTTATAAAATCAGTTATTTTAAGTTTGTTTCCATGCTCCTCCTGATCACACTTCTAAACCGTTTGGAATAACCATTTAACAGTTATATTCTAATCCTGTGTAATTTTTAGTTTTTATGCCTCTTGTAATCTATATCCACACCGCCTCCTAACTTACATTTCAAGTTGAAAATTTTCACTTCATTTTGCTTCCATGCTCATTTTCCTTACACCTGTAATTTGTTCTATCCCTGCGTAACTCTCGTCTCTAAGCCTCTCGTAACTTTTATCAAGTTAAAAATAGTTACCACCTTTTGTTCACTTTTAAAATCACTTCTCCAGTTATCAAATATTACCTTCGCATACGTTGTAACTGTTTTCTAATCCTGCGTGATCTTGTCTCTAAGCCCCTTGTAATCTATATTCATACCTTTAAACTTTCATATCAAGTTGAAAAAATTATTATCTCCTTCGTTACTATGTGGAATTAAATAAATAATAATAATTGTATGCATGTAAACTAATGTATATAATTGCGATCGTACAGCTGCTTTTGAGAATGCAATCTCCGAAAAGATCGATATCTTTGCTGAACTTCTGGTTCTTTTCCCTTTCTAGAGAAAAGACATCAACGTTTTGACTGTTTCTTAAAAAACGAGACTAGCTGTCTTGACTATGATCTGTCAGAATACATAAAATATTTATTACAGAATCTCTTTGTGCGTGTGTGTGTGTGTCTGAAATGATTCCAGATCAATCGTAATGGCTAGCAAGTTTCAATATATATTTAGATCCATTTTATCTGCCTGCTTTTCCCTTCAACTCCACGCCCATCGCATTGTCTTTTTCTCACAACTTCTCTTAAAGTTCTATAAAGTTTCGTGACTTTTGTGAATGTACTTTCTTCACTTTTATTACATTTTACTTTGCGTTATGCAAGAATATTAAATCATCGATGGCAAAACGTCTCTCTTCTTGTTTATTCAATATTCGTTGATCGCTTTTTTTTAAACGCTGTCTTGCTATCAGTAGTATATCTCGTGCCGATGTACATTTAATTCAAACAATTCAATAGAAAAAAACAGTTAAAGCATCTAAAATTATGGACTTTATTGATAAGGAGAAATAAAAAAAAGTAAATAAATCTGCTTGGAAAA